ATTGATGCATTTAAAGGATAATGGATCGTAGCATGAAACAGAAACAAGACGGAAATTCAGACAATAGTGTCTACAGAAAACACTCACACCCGAAATTGTTACTTACACTTCATATCATCTTCTTTCAGTTAACGTTAGCTTGGTAAAGTGTCTAAGTAACAGGGCCAGAAAACTTGTTAGCAAAACAGAACATCTAAGGTAAGGAATCAGATATATTAAACACACCCTAACCCACCAGCAGTTACCCTTCCAAATTAATTGGTAAGTTCCTTAGGAATTGTAAGAAAAACATTAGTAACACAGGTGTTAATAGTAACAGTAGTAGTGGTAATACAGTGAAGAGAGGATACAGAACCTCGACAGTATTACTATACATGGAAGGTACCTCAGAGACATTACGTAAGATTCTCAGAAAGGCTGACTGGGATTAGGGTGGTATTTAAATCTACAAACTGACTTTTAAATACGTTTGATAGCTTAAAAGATCGTATTGATTCAATAAGTCAGAATAACTTCCTTCTCCGAATCTCTTGAAACGACTGCGGGATTGTCAAATATATATAGATGAAAGTAGTCGTTTGGAGTCAGAATCTAGAGGAATGTTTGTCTGGAGCTATGCATGCGATTGCCCGCCTATCATACAGTAGGATGGGGCAGAGTGACAGCCTCTTCTCTTGTAGTTTATAAACTCTTACATCTTGCTTGTTCTCTTCTATTATTCTCCTTTTTTGTTTCCTGAGTTGTGAAAAAAGACTATGTTATATTGCTTAGAATTTTAGAGGTTGTCAGCAGAACAAATGGTAGTGTAACTGTAAACCTTCTAGTTAAAACTGTTGTGGATAAATATCTTAACTTATGCAGACATCTAGCAGGAGCTATTTTATCAGATGACCAGCTTTTTTGTTACTCGAAGCTGTCTGGATGTCAGTCATCTTGAAAGACAAGGAGCAAATACATAAGACTTTATGCACTCACTACAAAATATAAAAATTCTACAATACCGTAGGTATTTAGCTCGTCTCCTGTGTGATGAAGAAAGTATTAGAAATGAAGTAACTAATCAACTTTTGCTTTTATGAAAGTAAACTAATTGATCAGTACTCAACATGTTACTATTTAAGTGTTATGAATCTAATCGTTAATGTGATTGATTGTCTACCTAAGTTACCGATGCATTTTCAAGAAGATAGCATATGGAATAAATATGCTTATCTTTCATATATAATTTATATTTATTTTATTATGTATACATACTGATACCAAATGACATGCTGAAAATTGTGTAGAGTATTCCGAAAGCCATTATTATTATTATTAGTAGTAGTAGTATTATTATCGAAAACCAACTTAGTTGGGGTGGCGGGGGAGATTTATCACTGAATCTTCGTTAATCGAATCACTACCAAAAACATTTTATTAGGAATAACTCAACACCTGTTGCTTGTGTTTAGAAAATTCAACTGCCTATGACACAAAGAAGATGAGAAAATTAAAGGTAATTAAGGCATTACTTGGTATGACTGTAACAAGGAACTCTGGTATAGCAGCGAACCAACCAACAACCTATCGCTCAACAGATATACAGTGGAAGTAAGTGGAGATGGATTGATCATGCACTGAGAAGACCAATCGGGGACATTACGCACCACTCCAGGTACTCGAGTGGAACCCAGATGTGAAACGATGAGTTGGGTGTCCCAGTTGAGGGTGACATGAAGCAGATCATATGAGGAAGAAATGAAAGGTTGTGAGCAGTGATTATTATTATTTTTTATTAGTCCCTTGGGTTCCTAGTGGAACATAGGGCTTCAGTAGCACGCCTCCAGTGACCTCTGTTCTCCGAGATCTTTTGAACCTGGTTCCACGACAGCCCACAACCTCTCATTTCCTCCTCGCATGACCTCCTCCATGTCACCCTCGGACGTCCAACTCGTCGCTTCCCATGGGGATTCCATTCGAGGGCCTGACGCGTGATGTCCTCAGTCGGCCTTCTCAGTGCATGCCCAATCCATCTCCACTTCTTCCTGCATATTTGTTGCGTGATAGGTTCTTGGTTGGTTCGTTCCCAGAGTTCCTTGTTGCTTATTTTTTCTGGCCATCTGATCTTCAGCAGCGAGCGTAAGCAGTTGTTGATAAATGTCTGTAGTTTATTGGAAATCCCTTTCGTGACGCGCCAAGTCTCTGAGCCATACAAGAGCACTGACTTGACGTTGGTGTTGAAAATCCGTATCTTGTTCCACATGCTGAGTGCGGAAGATCCCCACATGTGAGCAGTGATAGAGCCAGGTTAAGTGGACTGCAGAGAATAGAGTGGAATGAAGACGTGCTACTGAATCTCTATGCTCCACTAGGAACCCAAGGGATAAATAATAATAATAATTGATATGACTATGGACAATAAATTGCGTCTGAAACGTAGTCCAGTAAACAATCCCATTGTTTCAGTATGGTGATATACTTACTAAATCAATAAACATGGAGTTACATGCTACCAGTATGCTCAAGTTTTACACTTGACAATAATAATGAAGATAACTTAATTGTTTTCTGACCAAAATATTATATTGTCTTCTGTAGGGCCGTTGTCGCTTCTAATGATCATACAAGTTGTTGAAAGCACATCCTAATGAAAAGCCAGAAATTAGTAGTGAAATCAAGTATGAGTAGTTGTTCCAGGTAGTTCAGTTGACGAAGCGATTGGATAGGAACTACTTGAGAAGTTAGTCAGTGCTCTTCAATGATCTCATTCATTTGAGACCGCTAAGTGTCATGAAATGCTGTCCACATATGATGTTATGTCAATTATATAGGATGCAATGATGAAGAATTATATCTAAGAACAACGTTTGGTGTTTGAAGCGATCGGTTCCAAGTTTGGATTTTAGTGAGAACATCATTGCTAACTAGAAGGTAGGCACATCCGGCTGAAGCATCCTGAATTGGATGAAACTCATGTTCTGGATCCCATTGATAGCCACTATCCCTCATTACTATAAGAACAACTGGATTAGACTAATTACTTCATGGATTTCCATGGATCCTTAAGTGATGATTGGTATGAATCAGTAATGCATTTTTTTATTCAGGTGAATAAGTTTGAACCTGAAATGATGAAAAAGATTTGTATTTGAAGATATGCATGACGGTAGTTTGGTTTTCTGTGAGATTTGTTATTCCATAGGGGATATTTCATCATAACCAAGCCTTCAATTTAAAAGTTGTTCACTGTCTCCTATACAAACTGAAAGATGCAGTAGAAGAGGAAGGTAAACCAAACATTATGTACGAAATAAACTGCAGAAATTGAGAAGGATACTATATCGAACAGAATGACCCTCCTATTTGTGTCCATTATATAAATAAGCATTAGATATCAATGAAGTGTCAGGTAACCATGGACATGTATTTGGATGGAAAGATATGGAACTCCTGGATGGAGAAAATACAAAAAATGCTAGAGAAGTTTTAGAAACTTGATATTCACGTCAGTTAATGATCAACAGACATATTGACATTGACCCAATCTATCAACGACACTTCAAGTGAAGGTAGAGAAAACAGAGATGATGAAGATACCCAACCAACAACAACAGAAACAACAAACACCTATCACCATCAACCGGAGAAATGTAAATCAAGTCGTCTCTTTCACCTACCTAGGCAGCATCGTTTCAACTACAGATGGCGGAGACACAGATGAGGACGTCAAACACACGATCAGAAAGACACAAAGACAGCTCCTCATTAACCTGAAATAATCAGTGTACAGATCTACTCCACTCAGTATGAAGTGTGAACAACATCTGCATTTTCAACACCGAAGTCAGTGAAGTCAGTGATTCTATACAATGTGATTGAGAGACTTGGTGCATTCCGGAAAACATTTCCAACAAATAACTACACACATTCATGATCAACAGCTGCCGCTACCACCGCCTATGCTCACTCGATACCGACACTGAAGATTGATGAGATGACCAGAATGATGAGAATGAGCAACAAGGAACTCACTGTAACTGGCTGGCTGGCTGGCTGCAACCATTCAACCAACCGAGAAGCCATCACCCAATAAATATGTAGGAGAGGAGAGTGGATATGGATAGGTGTGGAGTGGAGTGGACACAGACTGAGAAGACGGTTTTGGGACATCACGTGCCAGGTCAGATCAGGTCAGGTGGTGGAGTGGAAGGTGAATGGGGAACGACGAGTTGGATGTTTCATTTGAGGGTGACGTGGAGGGGATTGTGTAAGGAAGAGAGAAGGAAGGAAGGAAGGAGGGAATGAATGAATGAAGGAATGTTGTTGTTATTGGTGTAGGGAGGATGGAAATCGTGGAGAGAAGAGAGAGAAGCTGAAGCCTTCTGTTGACATACTTGTAATTTCTTTTGTTTTACTGAATCGAATTTTTCAACCTTTGTTGACAAATGGACTCTTGTGTGGATGTCTTGATGTTGCTTGAGTATTCATCATAGTAATTTACTCGGTCGTAGGTTGAAGTGAAATCTAGGATGCTCGTTTCTTCCTACTTGATTCTATTCAGCTGGGTGCACATTCATCCCAGTGAGTAATACTGCACCAATCTCAATGAGAACAACATCACTCACTAGAGTGCAAGTATATTCAACTGACGAGTCCTAAATATGATGAAACTTGTGTCCTGGATTCCTTTGCTAGCCATAACCAAGTAAATTACTATCTTCATTACTCTATAGTTAGAGGCAGTTTACAGGAAACCTTTCTAAAACTGATAAAGCTGTCTAGTTCCTAGTTCTTAACACTGATTAAATTTTAGACATTGAGTTAACAATGTGGCCACCAAGAAATTTCTATTCCTAATAAATCATTCATTGATTTATTCTGAAATACCACTCCTTCTCCAATCCCGTTTAAACTTGGTCTCTTGGTAATCACTTGTTGACTGTTTAAAACAAATTAAGTATATATGTATGATTCAATCATCAAATGGTATCATTCATTTGTTTAAATTTTTTTGTCTCAAGGAAACTGTTTATCAGTTTATCTTAACTCTACTGTACTGTATTGCAATCGGTGTTACATTTCATCAATTGGAGTATTTACAACGTTTTATTGGGCCAATCACAGTAAGTGTCCAAATTGTTGTCCTAACTAATTTGTTTACTTTCTCTAATGTATATATATATATATATATATATATATATATATATATATATATATACGTACTCGCAATATATTACTCGTCATGGACTGAAATTAGTTAGAGATCTGTTGAAGACCTTGGAGATGTAAACAGATGACAGTCCTCAGCCGTAAATCTATCTTGGTTGGAGTCTTTCAAGTTCCACGGTGAATGCGTTAACCAAGTAGCCAATCAAATATTAATTGGTTGGAGGCAATCGGCAGGAAGCCCTGGACCTAGGTTTCGTGCTTTTTGGCACTCGTCAGCAAGGCGTATCTGCAACCTCGACGGAACTGATGTTCCGCTTGAGATTTGAACCTGCGTCGCCCAGTGTTGTAGTCAGCGACTTTACCACTGAGCTATTCGGGCCGCAACTGACGTCCTGTAGGACTGGCTTCCTAGCTTCCTAGCTTGGTTGCCACACTGCAGATATGATCGATAGAATTCGATCTGCACTCAGGACTAGATAACATGAAATTGGTTGCACTCCCGCGACCAATCAAGACAGTTAGCCAATCATTCTGAGTTCAATGGTCCAAAGTTTCCAGTTTCTGTCAATTCATAACATGAGGCTGCTGTTCACCCATGTCTTCAGTTGCTATCCACTGTACTTCCGACTGGTTAAACCAGGAGGTCATGGTTTATCATTTGAACTTCGTGATATCCATCTCTATGGGTGCATCTAGAGACGAAACAATTATTCATTGCTCTCAGATTTTCACTGGTTCCCTCAAGTGATATCAGTTGGTGATGAATATTACTTTAACAATATATTTATGTGTTTGTACGCACGCGTATATACATCGATGAATGATCTTCATCATACCAAAATTGAATCATCAGTCAGCTGTTCTCCTCCTCAATTCCAATTCGGGTTTTAATTCATCCAAAACGAGAAACACCTGGTAAGGCGAAGATGCTAGTCACTTGTTTAGCATTGTCTTCAAAATGTTGATAAAGCATTCGATGAATAGATTAGTTTAGAAGCAGTTTTCGTTATAGTTTAGTGTCAGCTAGAGAACCAGTTAAAAGAAGAAGCAGTATTCAGTGTTCCTAGGTTCTCTGTGGCTCTTCAGTTGATGTCAAGATACGATGTGTCAGTCCCAACAAAACCCCTTATTGAATTTCAATCTAGTAAACATGAATGTTTCTTTACAATAGAGGCTTCCTGAAGCTATAGTGAAGAGCCGAGACCAGTGGCATAGGTCCTTTCAGGTGCAAGGACGTATACTCACCAATAGCGGATCACCTCACTTCACCTTCAACCATCACGCAGTACAAATACTAGTCTGCCAAACTACACCTATCTCAGATAGTCAAATCGTAATCAATATGATGCTCTCCCTCTCTGATCCAGTTAGATTTGGATTTGGATGAGAAGTCGTGATTGGCGGACAGCCAGGGTGGATACGATTAATAGGTAGTAACGCGTCATGAATTCACATGGTATTGGTAGGGCAAAACCCTTGGCGATTGGTGAAGTGAAATAAAATTCTGGTGAGCAGTCTAACCTCAGTTGGTAAAGCACCAGGCAGGTAACCCGATGGTTGCCGGTTCGAGTCAAGTAGCGGTCGAAATATTCACTTCACCTTCACTCATCACCTAGTAGAAATGTAGAAAATTGAATCCTAACACACTGGCTAAATAGTATGCTGGTCGCCACAAGATTTTACGAACCTCGACTTGATCGCTCACTGTATGATGTTCACCAATAGTAAATTCTGAACTAAGAAAAACTACATGCTCAATAGTCGCAGCTTTTAAAGTAGTTGTCAAACTGAAGACAATCAGCGATGGAAGCTGTCTAGAACTTGCTCATTTCTATGATTGTCTCAAGGTTACAGACTGATGTTGACACTGGTTTCTTGGTCATATTGTGTTCTCTCAACCGGGTTGTTTAGTCATGAAGTTTTCATTGTCTTTCTAGACGGTGACATCTTCAGCACTAACGTCAGTATGAAGTGAGCTGTCAATATCTCTCCGTCAGTGATTTATCAGCTTTCCCTGACAAATTGGTTTGTCATTGGTTCTCTCCTTTGATTGTTATGTCATTGACAGACTGTATAGATTTTCCTGTTGGCTATTCCTCTGCTTCACCTCTCACTTTCCTGTCGTTTATCACTTTTCTCATTGGTCGATAGATTGGGTGTATGCTTGTACACTACATAGGATAAAGTGGTCGCCATCTTCTCCTTCATTGACATGAACACCAATTGGGCACTAAAGGTCACGTAAGACATTTCATCAGTCATTTCAATCCACGTGGATGCCAACTATGGACATGAATTCAATGTTGACAATGTAGAAATCATGGACAGAGAGAGGAAACACAAAGAATATCAGAGAATTCCTAGAAGCTTGTCATTCAGGTCAGTCAGTCAGCAATCAATAGATGTATACACATAGACCCAATCTATCAACCAATGAGAAAAATGATAAGGGACAAAAAGGTCAGAGGTGAAGCAGGGGAACAGACAAGAGGAAAGTCTGTACAGTCAGTGAACAATCGAAGGAAACAACCAATCACAAACCAGTTCGTCAGGATACTGCCAGCTCATTTCATATTGAAGGTATTGCTGATGATGTTACTGTCTTGAAGGGTGATGAAAACTTCTCCATGATTAAATAACTCATCTCAGAGAACATAATACAACCTTAGTTGATATGATACACAAAATGTTTTCTTTAAAATACATATAAAAGCATTTTACACTAGAAAGTGACATATAATTTTCTTATTCTATTTACCTACAGATATTTACATCTGCTAATTTTGGTGTCTACACATTCGGTAGTATGGTGGCGCTGACAGAATTGATTTGTAAACATGAAGAAGAAACAATTAATCAACAAAATCCAATCACTAATCCTACACAACCAAATATTCAAGTAACTGGAGTAAAATGAAACATTGTCAATATGTATAGAATAGTATTTCTACAAGTATCTCTTACCATCATGCATAATAGATCTCTCTTCATGATAACAAATACTATCGGTATAGTTCAGTATACAATAAAAAACAAACAGAATATATTAATCGATTAGAAAGTATAACGATATTATTACCTCTAAGTCTGTATTCACAAGCTAACTGATCCTTAAGGATATCTGATGAATCTATTACATTGTAGACCTTTAAAAAAAATTTCTACCCCTTCCAACATTATTTTATATATATATATATATATATATATATATATATATATATATACTCCATCCCAAGGGTTAAGGAACTTTACTTCTCTGCATTAATTATCACGATTTTGTCTTTTGTTGAATTCAATTCTGTCGCCTGTATACTTTATTCTCAAACCGTTGGTTACTTCTCTTTTAGTTGTAATCAAGTGATTTATTGCATTATCTTGCTTTTAAATGGTATCTTCTATGAATATATATGTATATAAATATATCAGTCAGTCAATAAATCTGGTTATTTATGTATTCATCACCAGTTTGATTGTCTTAGATAGTCATGATTTGGCAGACTTGTTATCCTATGGAGTAGTATCATATTGACTATCTGAGATAGCTACGGTCCGGTGGTGTGCTAGTTCTTTCCAATCCTCAAGAGTTTTGTCTAACTGCTATACAAAATTGTGATGCATTACCATCTGTGCATTTGTGCATTCCTACCCGCCAACCCCCCCCCCACCCACCCGCTCCTTTAATCGATGACTGAGGAGGTTGAATTGTACACTACTAAGGTTTTAATTATAATCATAAATGTGTTAATGATGGATCGCAGCTAGTTGTGGAATGCAGGACGCGTATTTCGTCCCACCTGGGATTTGTCAGCTGAATGTACCTGCTTCACAGTAACTGATGTTGTTCCCACTGAGATTCAGAAGCAGGAGTGATCGCTTCAAACGCTAGCGCGTTATCCACTACACCACCAAACCACGATAACCACTTCTTGTGCGACGCGTATACTTTTACTATAATTGTTTGTATATGATACCGTCGTTGATTGGACAGAATTGATCGGTCGGTTTCTATTGGCATATGGGCTCCTGTGCGGATGTTTCGATAATGTGAGTGTTCTAATTATGTTAATAATGGGTCGAGGCTAGCAATGGTTGACGTTGGGAGCGATTGCTCCGGAGTTCGAATCCCGGTGGGGACAACATCACTCACTGGAAGCAGGTACATTCAGCTGACAAATCCCAAGTTGGATGAAATGCGCATCCTGGATTCCACTGCTAGCCACGATCCATCATTGACGTAATTGGAACGTAGGTAATATAGAGGCGTTTGCACAGGAGCCCATCTGCGAATAGAGACCGATCAATTCGGTCCAATCAACGACGGTATCATATAAAAACAATTATACTATGATTATAAATACTTTGAACCATAGAACACCAAATGCAGGGTAAAGTATTTTTGTGTTACGCAACCCAGTAACCTTGTCAGCTGACTTCATTTATCTGGTTTGTTTTATTGTAAGGGATTAAAGCGAATTTATATGACAGGTAGTACGAGCTAACAGTCAACGAGTGATACGAACCTAATGAACAAACGAATCGATTCTAACGCAAATCAGAACGTCAATTACAACAACACCACCGACACGCGAAGACAAGAAGAGAATACAGAGCGCTACCAGTAAGCTTTTTACAGTTAATACAATTGACAGTGATGGTGAATATATATACATTCCTAAATGACCTTGACAACACTGAATCTACATATAGTTAACAACCAATGAGAGTTCAACCTTGACAGCAGAGGGAAAAAAAATCTAGTAAAGGTGTGAAAACAGCTACGTATGTTTTTTTAGTCATGAGTGAAACAGCAGGCAAAATCTATGCAAAATTATAGGTATATAGCATAAATACGAAGTAATAACTGATCGATGGTTTATCTTACCGTATGCAACTTATTTTCACCGAAATATATATTGACGGTTTTCTAATCTAGCATGCTCATAATCCACGTAGTTTTGCCGAAAATAACAGTGATTAGTTTCTTGATGAATACTGGTAATAATATAGGATGTCTACAGATAAGGTTGCATCAGATAGTCATCACTGAGATGATCGGAGGTTACGTTTTAATCAGAAGTCATGACCTGTGGAGTTAACTAAGTTTTGAGTGAGGTCGATACCCTCCGAGGGTCATGCTATATGGTGAATTGATTAATGTAGGAAATAATGGATGATTGGATTTCGACTCACTGGTTGAATGGTAGCGTGCTCCTGGTGAGATTGATGGCACTAGGCTCAATCCTTTGCAGGATCGTGGATACGCACTGCTGTAGAGTCCCATACTAAGGAAAAATAGCTTTCCAATGCTCCTAGGTTCCAGAGATGATGTCGGTTAGGACCTACTGAAAGCTTTATGAAGATATGAAAGTAACTTACATCTTTCGTCAATATTGACTTGCTATATAGTTTTACCATTTCATTTGTATACAGTTAAAACTATTTCAGAGAATGCAGCAACACTAATTTGATAGTGAAGTGTGAGTGCCTTATAGAGTTTCCATTTGATTGACCATTCTAGGGAACAGTTTTGTCAAATGAATTAATAAACGTTGATCTTATTACAGGAGAATTACTGAATTAATTGGAGATGTTCTTCTTTGTATGGTTAATGATGATACAATCCAGATAAAACTGACATAATATGCATGGAAAGAATGAACTGTTTTTGAAACTAAAAATTTCACTTTATACATCATGAATGTAATTGACACGTACAACTATTTATTGGCAAAGATTCGACCACGGTATTTTCCTAAATGACAAGGCTGCCTACTATCACCCATGATCTTCCTGATGTGGCCGACTGGATTGGATCACGCAGCAATGAGTAAGAAGAGGGGAGTACGCTGGACCGGGTAAAATATCTTAGTACGTTTGGATTTCGCCGATGATTTATGTCTAATGTCTTGTCGCACAAACTAGAAGACCTACAGGCGAAAATCAACAAGTTGACAGAAGGGGTGAGGCAGCGAAGGAAGATGGGACTTCAAGTGAAAGTAGAGAAGACAGGGGTGATGAAGATACCCAACCAACAACAGCATCAACAACGAGAGGCACCAATCATCATTAGTGGGAGAAACCTAAACGAAGCAGTCTCGTTCACCTTCCTAGGCAGCATCGTCTCAAATGCAGGCCGTGGCGGCACGGACGAGGATGTCAAAACCAGCCAGGATCGGAAAGACACCAAGACAGGCCTTCATTAATCTGAAATAATCAGTGTGGAGATCCACTGCACTGCACAACACTCCACTCAGCATACAGCGTCAACAACGTCCGCAGTTTCAACACCAATGTCAAGTCAGTGCTGCTATATGGTCAGAAACTTGGCGCGTCACGACAAGTAATTCCTACAAACTACAGACATTCATCAACAACTGCCTATGCTGGCTCGATACTGAAGATCAGATGGCCACAAAGAATAAGCAACAAGGAACTCTGACAACGAACCAACCAAGAACCCACCGCTCAAGAAATATGCGGTGTAAGGAAGCGGAGATGGATTGGGCATACACTGAGAAGACCGACTGGGGACATCACGCATCAGGCCAGGCACTCGAGTGGAATCCAAGGGGGTGTCCCAGTTGAGGATGACATGGAGGAGATCATATGAAGAAGAAATGGAAGTTTGTGGGCAGTTATGGTGCCAGGCCCAAAAGGCTGCAGAGAACAGAGTGGAATGGAGGCGTGCTACTGAAGCCCTAAATTCAACTAGGAACCAAAGGGAAAAATAATCATAATAATTTTCCTAAATATTATTATTATTTGTCCCTTGGGTTCCTAGTAGAACATACGGCTTCAGTAGTACGTCTACATTGCACTGTCTTCTCTGCAGTCTTTTCTACCTGGCTCCACAACTGCACACAGGCCTTAATTTCTTTCTCATATGATCTTCTCTATGTCACCCAACACGTCGTTTCCCATTTTGATTCCACTCGACGGCCTTGCCTGACATGGAGCGTGACGTCCCCGAATGGTCTTCTCATTTTAAGTCCAGTCCAGTCCAATCCATCTCCACTTTCCTCTACTACATATGTGTTGAGCGATGAGTTCTTCCCTCGTTGGTTCGTTGCCAATCAGCCAGAGTTCCTTGTTGTTGATTCTTATTGTTATAGCCATCTCATCGATCTTCAGTGTCACTATGGAGTGAGCGTAGGCGGCGGCAGCTGTTGACGATGTATATCTGCAGTTGTTTGTTGGAAATGCTTTCCGAAAAGCACCAAGTCTCTCAAACATGTAGTATAGAAGCACTGACTTCACAGATATTAGTGTTGAAAATGCGGATGTTGTTCACACCATTTGCTGAGTGGAGTAGATTTACACTGGTTTCAGAGTAATGAAAGCCTGTCATGCTGTCTTTTAGATCGTGGCTTTGTCATCATCATCTGTGCCGCCACCGCCTGTATTTGAGACGATGGTGCCTATGTAGGTGAAAGAGACAACTTCCTTCAGATTTCTCTCGTTGATGGTGATTGGTGCTTGTTGTTGTTGCTGTTGTTGTTACCGTCTGGGCATCTTCATCACCCATGCCTTCTCTACGATGACTTGAAATCCCGTCTTCCGTCGCTGTCTGGCCTCGTCTACCAACGTTTTGGTTTACGCCTGTAGATTTTCAGGTTTGTGCAACACCAGACACAAATCATCACCGGTGAGATCCAAATCTTCTTCTGAGGTCTTTTATCGGTTCAGCCAGCGTGTGTACATCTTCCCGCTCCGCACTGCTGCATCATGCAGTCCAGTCCACCACAATCAGGAAGATCATAGGTAATGGATGTTAGGCAACCTTGTCTTACTCCTGTCTTCACTTCAAAAATGTCAATGAACTTTCCACTGTGAATCACTTGGCATGTGGCATCTTCATGTAGTTGTTGAATGAGGTTGAAAAAGGTTTGTGGCACTAAAACCGTAATGTTGGAGCAGCTGCATGACGAATTACTCCTCGTTTGACACTGTCGAAGGTCTTTTCAAAGTCGATGATGTTGGGGTTGAGTTGAGTTGATTGCCACTCTATGTTCTGTTCAATGATGATGCATAGCGTAGCGTTGCAACTTGATTCGAACATGA